ATTCCTCTCCATCTCGTGGTGTGTCGAATGTGTTGGAAAGTATTGCTGTAGGTTCTGCTGCGATTAGGTCTCAAGAAGCAGCGAGTTTGATGTCTACATTTACTTCTTCTCCAGAAAAGACAGAAGCCCCTTCGGAAGTTGCAGAGGTTGGTTCAAAAGTCGATGTTGTAAAGGAGGAAGTTGGCAAAGCAATGAATGTCCTGAAGGGAGCTATCGAAGCTAAAGGCAAGGAAGCAGAAGGCGTTGTAAATCAGAAAGCTGAAGAGATCGGTAAGAAAATTGAGGAGACTGTAAATACGGGACTTCCGCAAGTACGCACATTCAAAGATGATGTCATCGTGAGTGGCAAAGAAGTTAAAGATGTCACTGATAAGAAACTGAAAGAAGCTGGGGAGAAAGTTCAGACACAAGTTGATGAAGGTCGATTGGAAGTGGAGAGTATTCTTTCTCGTCTATCTCCAGCTGGTAAATCAGAAGAACAGAGTCCAGAGGTTGAAATTACTCCAAAACCTGTTAAAACAAGCCTTCTAGCATCTCTTGAGAAGCGTAAAATGCAGAGGGAAGAGGTGGAGGAAAGGGATTCCTCTCCATCTCGTGGTGTGTCGAATGTGTTGGAAAGTATTGCTGTAGGTTCTGCTGCGATTAGGTCTCAAGAAGCAGCGAGTTTGATGTCTACATTTACTTCTTCTCCAGAAAAGACAGTAGCCCCTTCGGAAGTTGCAGAGGTTGGTTCAAAAGTCGATGTTGTAAAGGAGGAAGTTGGCAAAGCAATGAATGTCCTGAAGGGAGCTATCGAAGCTAAAGCCGAGGAAGCAGAAGAGGTGGCAAATAAAAAGTTGTATGGAATTGGTGAGAAGGTTCAAGGAAAATTTGAAAATTGAGAGAAGCAGACTGAGACTGAAAATGAGGCTATTATAAAAGCAGAACTAATCACTACTTCTCTACCCCAGAGTAACTTACCTACGACCTATTTTGTGCTTTTCCAGAAACTAAATATTAAATCGAATCCCTCTTCCCTCACTTGTGTTTACTGCTATTAGCACCAAATAATAAGCGACTCGCCTTTGTTTCTAACATCTTGTTTCTTTGTTGAATTTTATTTGTATTTAAGTAACTTGTCTTTAGTTACATTCCTGCTGACTGTTAATTCGTACTAATTATGTAAAAACAAACCTTTTCGAGATGATTGCATGTTTCCACCTCTTAGTGTTATGGCAAACACAAATTTATTGATTTTTTGCTATCACGCATTAGTCCAATTGCGCTAACCTTCACAGGTGTTTACAATCGATATATTTTCTCTTTGGAGTGTTTAAGGGTATAGCTGAAGTTAATCAGTGTTAATAAAGCCCCGCAAAAAATAGGCTTTTCTAGTATCTCTGCATCTGTCGAAATAACTACTCGAGTTTATGGGAAATCAATTTGAATTGGTGTTATTTTACACGATTTGGCAAACGACAGTTATCTCACAGTGCATATAATCATAAATTTTGATTTAGTGAAAAACGAATTATGGGACTTTAACATATCTATGTGAATTGAGATTTGGCGGTACATTGGTTAGTTCAACGAAATAATTTGTTTATTCATTTCAAATGGCAGGCGTTTTGATAGAAATCATTAGCCATTTAACTGACTTTGGGCTTCACAGAGGGAAGGAGGAACATCAAAATAGTAGAAAGTCAAGGGGTGGGGAACAGAAGGGCGATTCACAGATGTAAAAGAGGCATACAGACACAAAGGTAGAGAAAAAGGTAAGGTGAGTACTGTGTACAGACACAAAGGTAGAGAAAAAGGTAAGATGAGTACTGTGTAAGACACAAAGGTAGAGAAAAAGGTAAGGTGAGTACTGTGATAGGGGCCGAATATGACAACCAGTCAGAAGTCAAATGCCGGTTAATAGACTTTTTGCCGTATGAGCAAAAACGAATGCCGAGTGATAGAATTTTTGCCGTAAGAAAGTACGTTGCCCAGGGTGCACCACGTGGAGGTAAGTCTATCGTAGTTAACTGCCAGTTAATAGACTTTTTGCCGTATGAATATAACGAAAGCCGAGTGATAGACTTTTTTGCCGTAAGAAAATACGCTGCCCAGGGTGCACCACGTGGAGGTAAGTCTATCGCACACAAACTTCCGGTTAATAGACTTTTTACCGTATGAGTATACGTTTCCCAGGGTGCACCACGTGGAGGTAAGTCTATCGCACACCCACCAGGGTGCACCACGTGGAGGTAAGTCTATCGCACACCCCTTGTCAGGGTGCACCACGTGGAGGTAAGTCTATCGCACACCCCAGTTCAACGAAATAATATGATCACAGCGTTATCGCTTTGAGGCAAAATCTAGTTAGTTTTTTCCACTAGAACGTCAAAACTAACCGATTATTGAATTTGTATGTCTTTTAAGTGTATCGGCAGATTAGTTCACTATGTATAAAACGACCCTTCAGAGATCAAAGTAAAGGTTTTAACCCTAAAATTAGCATATTGGAACTTGTTTATTAAAGTAAATCAATTTTGATTACCTCAAATCGATGACTCGACTCACTTTTTACTTGTAAACCAGCCACCAAAAAGGTGGCTCCATCACTAATGAATTAGAATTTCATCAGTGGCCTTGTGAAGTTTATAAAAGTTCAGGTAGACAACATATTTAGCTGTGCTGGAATGAAAGCTAGCCAACTTATTTTTTAAAGTAACCGTGGTAAATTAACAAGGACAATTATACTTATTTTCGAATTAGGAAACTAAAGGACAAAATTGGTAAATATGTCTTTCGCCTTCATTTCTGACATTTTCAATGTTATCGCCTACTTATCAACTTATTCTATTAGGGATTTTGACCTTTATATTTGATGAATTCCAGTCATTTACTATAATTGTTTACATTCTAGGACTGGTCAGGTGTTAACTGTTGATCCGGAAAGGCCAGACTTATGAGGACAATTTGTACTTCATTTTGGCAACAGAAGGTAAAGAGTTTGCATGTATGTATGTATCAAGATCTGAGACACTTTTGAGTTAACTCTAATCATATGCACAATTTGGGTTTTACAGGTGAGATTGAGATGAAATGCAACTCTGAAATAGGCTATACTGGAGGAGTGCTTAAGAAGTAATTGATTCATTTCAGAACCTGCTATTAAAATACACCTAATTATTCAAAGATCCAAATTCTCATTTATGAAAAAGGAAATCGGATCAGTAACAGTAAATTAAAATATTTGAAATGGTGCAATATTTAGTTAATGGTTATTGTCTTTTACCTTCCAAAATTCGACATTTACGATTCATTCGTTGGTTGATCGGTCATATCAATTTAAATCAGTTTCTTTTCCTTTGAGATGGCGTTTATTTACAATTTAAACCATAAACCGACAAACGCGATTAGTAAAAGCACTTTAAGAAAGTCATAACTTATAAGAGTTTACTCAACTTTGAATCTAATTAATCATTTACCTACTTATTCTTCAGTCTTCGTTGCTGTTATTAAATACACACCAAGAATGAATTCCTTTTTCCTGACGTCAATTTTGATCTTGGTTAAATGACCCATCAATACCCAACTTAACAATACATAAGCTCATGTGTTTCTGTAGAAAACTTTTGAGGCTGCACATGCATTTTTTTATAGAGAGGCCTTTCGGGTCATGTTGCATGCATTTTGAACTGCTGAATTTAATTTGGTTTTGGCGAGTAGACGTATCAAAGGCGTGAAATAAATGTTTAG